TTCCTGGTAAGTTTTATCCCGCAATCCATGAACCAGTTTAGCAGCCCTTCTCTGAACTCTCTCTAAGGTATCAATATCCTTCTGAAGATATGGTCTCCAGTATTGTGTACAATACTCCAAGTGAGGTCTCACCAGTGTTCTGTACAATGGCATGAGCACTTCCCTCTTTCTACTGCTAATACCTCTCCCTATACAATCAAGCATTCTGCTAGCATTTCCTGATGCTCTATTACATTGTCGAGAAGTGGTCTGGGTGCCTGGAGTGTCCCTTTAAGATCCACTACCTGTTCTTAAAAGGACACTGTAGGAACCCAGACCACTTCAGCTCATTAAATTGGTCTGGGTGCAGTGTCCCTTTTGCCCTTAGTGCTGCAATGTTAAACACTGCAGTTCCAGAGAAATCGGCCTCATTCATAATATGAGAACCCTTGTCCCAGTGTTTATTTAAATTTTAGTAAACATTCCTCATTCAACATTTTTGTTTGTGTTTGTGGTTTTGTTTTTTAAATGAAGTTCCCTTTTTTCCTTCACACATGTCTCTGATTCTTTTACCCCCAGCATGTTCTCCTCTAGACCAGAGGAAGTGGAGAAGCATGGTTCTGTGATTGTATATGTGCAGTAATCCCATAGCTCTCATGTTTCCGCAGGCTAGGCCTGCCAGGCCTGGACACGGCTTCCAGGGGCCTATTTCTCCTGAGGTTTTTTTGGCACAAAAAGCACGGGACATGAGGGGGCGCGGTGCCCTTTATTCACTTTCCTGGCTGTTGGAATACAGCTTTCAGCTGTCTAAAAAACAGCTCTCCTTATTCTGTCCATCTTTAGTTCTCATTTCCAATCTATGCAATCTTTCTGCACTTTAAGAACCCACCTATGTTTTAAAGACACCGTAAATATTTAAACAAATCAAATAGCTTAAATGAAAGACAACTTTTATACATTAAGCTTGTTAAAGTAGTGTGCTTATGTACTTTTTTTTTTGGGGGGGGGGGGGTCTGGTTCTGTAATTTCTCATTTAACCCTGCATTTTGTGGTATAAATAAATACATGCTTCTTGGGTTTACCGGTGTCCTTTCTGAACTTCATCCAGAATTGTAGATTTATCTATTTGTCTTTATGTGTGTGCATGGTGACAGGTGTTGCATATTATTATTGGATCTGTTTTGGTGACACTGCTGTACTATATGAGAAATGTGTTCTGATTTCTGTTTGAATGCTTATAACTATTTAATTGTTGAAAGTACCAGTTGGCAAAGCAAAATAAAACTTGTGGGGATATTCACTAAAATGGGAATTGTGGGGCATAAAAATGAAATTGCATATTTTTGGCCAAAATAACCAAGCTAGAAAAAAACTGTTGGAGACCATTTTCAATTCAGATATTTTGGTGTACAAATTGCAGTTCCCTTGTCGGATCTCCTCAGTTCAACACTTCCTACGAAATGGTTGCTCAGCCAGATAAAGGGAAATTTCCTAATATAAAAAAATGATCATTTAAAAACTGTTATGTTTCATTAAATGTGGTCAACTTTTAAAAATTGAGAAGTGAAAGTTTAATGACAATTGTCCTTTAACCCCTTAAGGACGGAGCCAAATGTACACGTTTTGAACGAAACAAAATGTAAACAAAACCTGGCATTTGCGCTACATGTCTGTCCAACCGTAATTCACCTCTTTCATAGTAAATGCACGCACCCTTATTATATATCATTTTATTCAGGGGAAACAGGGCTTTCATTTAATATCAAATATTTAGCTATGAAACATAATTTAATATGAAAAAATGGGAGAAAATAAGATTTTTTTTATTTTTTTAGTTCTACATGACATTTTAACGGTCAGTGTCATAATACTGTTTGCTTTTACTGCAATAAAATACACATATTTGTATTCAGTAAAGTCTCACGTGTAAGACAGTACCCCCTATGTACAGGTTTTATGGCGTTTTGGGAAGTTACAGGGTCAAATATAGCACGCTACATTTGAAATTGAAATTCGCCAGATTGGTTATGTTGCCTTTGAGACTGTATAGTAGCCCGGGAATGAAATTTACACCCATAATGGCATACCATTTGCAATAGTAGACAACCCAAGGTATTGCAAATGGGGTATGTCCAGTCTTTTTTAGTAGCCATTTGGTCACAAACACTGGCCAAGGTTAGCGTTTGTATCTGTGTGAAAAATGCAAAAAACGCCAATTTTGGCCAGTGTTTGTGACTAAGTGGCTACTAAAAAAGACTGGACATAACCTGTTTGCAATACCTTGGGTTGTCTTCTATTGCAAATGGTATGCCATCATAGGGGTAATTTTCATTCTTGGGCTACCATAGACAAAGGCAACGTAAGCAATCTGGCGAATTTTAATGTGAAAAAAATGAAACACAAGCCTTATATTTGACGCTGTAACTTTTGAAAACACCATAAAACCTGTACATGAGGGGTACTGTTGTACTCAGGAGACTTCGCTGAACACAAATATTTGTGTTTCAAAACAGTAAAAAGTATTGCAGCAATAATATCATCCGTGTAAGTGCTGTTTGTGCGTGAAAAACGCAAAAAACTTCACTTTTACCGGCGATATTGTTATACATTTTACTGTTTTGAAACACTAATATTTGTGTTCAGCGAAGTCTCCCGAGTAAAACAGTACCCCCCATTTACAGGTTTTATGGTGTCTTGGAATGTTATAGGGTTAAATATAGTGCTTGCAAATTAAATTCCCTATACTTTCGGCATGGGTTGTCAGGCAGGTCCCGCTAATTGTAATTAATTAGGATACCTAATTATGTAAAAATATTACATAAATATGTGTAGAATTAATATATGTATATATATATATATATATATATAATTTTTTTTATATTTTTATTTATATATAGGTGTATATATAGTGATATATACGTATATATTTATGTATATAGATATATATATTATTTCGTTCTACGTGTATTTTGATATAAATATATATATATATTAATATCACAATACAGTTAGAACGAAATAACAAACATCTATATATTTTTTTTATTATTTATTTTTAATTATTTTTTTAATTTTATTTTTTTACGTATTTACATTTTTATATTATATATAAATATATATATATATATAACAATAATTATATATATATATATTTAATCAGTATTAGTCTACGTGTAATTTGATAGTAATATATATATAAATAATTATATATATTAATATTTAAATACACTTCGTGTATGTGTAAATGTGTGTGTGTGTGTGTGTATATATATATATATATATATATATATATATATATATATATATATATATATATATATACTTAGATCATATATATATATAATATATATGATCTAAGTATATTTTATTTGTAACTGTAATTTTTTTTTTTTTTTAAACTAATATTTTATTTTTATTACAGGAGAGGGGGCAGAGACAGTGTCAGCCAGTGATTTCACATCACTGGCTGACACACAGGATCAGTGATCACAGTGACTGCCTGTCACTGTGATCACCTCCTGCAGATTGGGTAATTGACCACAGGGGGGAGTGCCTGGGTGGTACAAGCACTCCCCCCTACCAATCTGCAGGGGGATCATTGCGCCTGTTACATGTCAGCCATTAGGCTGACACATGTAACACTGATCGCAGTGACAGGCTGTCAGACTTAGCAGATCGCGGTCACTGACCCCAAGGGGACTGCCTGGGGGGCCAGGTAAGTCCCCCGACCGCGATCTGCATAGCAGAAAGCCGCCGGCCACGTGTGTCAGCCGATTTGAAATCGGCGGACACACGTTAAATACTGATCGCAGTGACAGCCTGTCACTGCGATCAGAGACCGCAGATCGCGGTCACCGGCCACAGGGGGGGATGCCTGGGGGGCCAGGCATCCCCCCGACCGCGATCTGCAGCGGGCGACTAGCGCCGGCCACGTGGGCGGCCATTATAGCGAGGGCGTACTATTACGCCCGCCGGCGTTTAGAGCCGGCTCCTGCAGGGCGTAATAGTACGCCCTCCGGATTTAAAGGGTTAAGGACGGAGTAAATTGTACATGTTCTGATCAAAATGTAAACAATACCTAGAAACCTGGAATTTGCGCTAAATGTCTGTTCAACCATAATTCACCTCTTTCATTTTTAGTGCACCCACACTTATTATATATCATTTTGTTCAGGGGAAACTGGGCTTTCATTTCACATCAAATATTTATATATGAAACATAATTTAATATAAATAAAATTTTGAGAAATTAAGAATTTTTTTTCAAGTTATGCATGGCATAACTGTGAATGTCCTAGTACTGTTGGATTTTACTACAATAAAATACACATTTGTGTTCAGCGGTGTCTCACAAGTACAACAGTGCCACCATGTACAGGTTTTAGTAACAGGGTCAAATAGCAAATTCCCATTTTTAGTTTATATACATTAAAATTTGCCAGGTTGGTTATGTTGCCTTTTAGATTGTATAGCAGTGCAGGAATGAAAATTGCCCCAATCATGGTGTTGCATTTGCAGAAGTAGACAACCCAGGGTATTCCAAATGTGGTATGTAAAGTCTTTTTTTAGTAACCACTTAGTCACGAACACTGGCCAAAATTGGCGTTTATATTTGTTTTTTGCATTTTTTACAATCATCATCATTGTTATATGTTTTACTGCTGTAAAACTCTTGTACTCATGAGAAATTACTGGGCACAAATAGAGTTTTAGAGCAGTAAAACCAGAAATTAAGATTAGCATCATGGCATACTATTTGAAAAAGTAGACCACCCAGGGAATTCAAGATGGGATATGCCCAGTTTTTTTTTTCGTGGCCACTTAGTCACAAACACTATAGTCACCTAAATTACTTTAGCTAAATAAAGCAGTTTTATTGTATAGATCATTCCCCTGCAATTTCACTGCTCAATTCACTGTCATTTAGGAGTTAAATCACTTTGTTTCTGTTTATGCAGCCGTAGCCACACTTCCCCTGGCTATGATTGAAAGAGCCTGCATGAAAAAAAAACTGTTTTTTACTTTCAAACAGATGTAATTTACCTTAAATAATTGTATCTCAATCTCTAAATTGAACTTTAATCACATACAGGAGGCTCTTGCCGGGTCTAGCAAGCTATTAACATAGCAGGGGATAAGAAAATCTTAATTAAACAGAACTTGCAATAAAGAAAGCCTAAATATGGCTCTCTTTACAGGAAGTGTTTATGGAAGGCTGTGCAAGTCACATGCAGGGAGGTGTGACTAGGGTTCATAAACAAAGGGGTTTAACTCCTAAATGGCAGAGGATTGAGCAGTGAGGCTGCAGGGGCATGTTCTATACACCAAAACTGCTTCATTAAGCTAAAGTTGTTCAGGTGACAATAGTGTCCCTTTAACCCCTTAAGGACCAAACTTCTGGAATAAAAGGGAATCATGACATATTAGTTTTTTAACAGTTTTCATACAAAAACTGCATTTTCACTGATGATATCATAGTTATACGGGTTTCAAAACTGTAAAATGTATCACATTTGTGTTTAGTGAAGTCTCCCAAGTGCAACAGGTTAAATAGAATTAGTGGAGTATACAAACATGACCACAACCCTAATATTATAATTATTATTGCCATTTATATAGCGCCAACAGATTCAGTAGCGCTTTACAATATTATGAGAGGGGGTTTTAACTATAGATAGGACAATTACAAGAAAACTTACAGGAATGATAGGTTGAAGAGTACCCTGCTCAAACGAGCTGACCGTCTATAGGAGGTGGGTTATAAAACACATTAGGACAGGATGCCTCGGTTTTTTTAACCCCTAGATGGTCTCAAGGAATTCTTCCAACATTAACCATCAGTCTACTACAACTCTTGTGCTACAGGCACCACTGCATTTTTTAAAAATTTTTTATGAAAATGGTTACCTCAACTATTTTTAATAGTTAAAGATTCAAAATGAAAAAGGATCATTTAACTATAGGAAGCCAAGACGATAATAAACGGTTTGTTTTTTAACACTGTGTGACCAGTGCTATATATATATATTGGAAGGCAGGGCCTGAAGTTGTGGGAGGGGCTATATCCCTTTAAAAGGGACTCCCCCTCCTACCTCATTCACCTTCTGGTCCAGATGCTCGTTTGGATTGCAGGTTCCCAGCGTGGTTCCAGTTTCTCCTGACAGCTGCATTTTCAAAGTTTCCTACTAAACAGTGAGTTGGCAGACTGGTATCATTGTACCAGTCTGCAGCCTACACATAGCCTGACCCTCCGAGGTCCACGGCTACAGTATTGTGGGGGACAGAAACCCCCTCTTCAGGGCTGATTCAGCTTGATTCCCGCCGGGGGATCAGGCCTTATGCAGACCAGCCCTCCCTCCTCCCCCCTGCCGCTGCTCGCGGCACAGCAGCCGGTTAATTCATTTAGTGAGAGCTCCTAACCCCCTCTCACTACACAGCAGCTGGTTGAAGTGTAAATGTGTGACCCAGCTCCTAACCTCCTCCCCCCCTCACTACACAGCAGCCGGATCAATGTATTGTAGGACCCAGCTCCTAACCCCCCCCCCCTTTCCCTCTCTCTGCGAGAGCGGGGAACCCCCCCCAGGCTTGTGGCAGGTGACGGTAATACTCTTAAGACCCCCCATGGACCTAATTCACGGGGGTCTGCGGTTTCTGCCACAATAGCCGCATGATTGGGGAAACCAGCCCACCCACTCCCCACCCCAACCTACAAGTGCCCGGTCTCATAAAAAACTATTGGAGAAGAAGGAATAATAAAAAAAAATAAAAAAAATCATTTTTAAATTTAAAGAATTTGCTTATTTGCCTTGATGCCCTTTGTTAGGGTATCAGCAGCTTACAAATCTCTCCTCCCCCCCTCTCCCCAGTCTTACTTACCTACAGACGGGGGTTCACTCACACAGGCAGAGCTCCCTTCACAGCCCCAGCCAGAAAGCACGTCAGAATTACAGCAATGCTGACGGCAATACAAGTTGTAACCACTAGAGGTTGCCCTATAAATAGTAATGTTATCTGGTATATTTCAAATTTTGTGATATGTGTTAACAATGGCAATATTAAAAATGGTAAGATTTATATATTACGTTAGGAATAATAAAGTATTCATTTAATTCATGCACAACCGGTTACGTATAGATTTGTGGAAACAACTGTTTAAAGCATATAAGTCAGATATAAGCTGCTCTCGGGCACTAAATTGTGATGTAATTATGTGACTAATCTACCTAATATGTGGATCTATGTGACTCAAGAATATATACCATATACTCACACCACGGTTTCAATTAAATCTTCAGAATTACTTGCGTGGTTATAGACAAATTGCAAGTTCAAGAATATTTTCCCTTTATTTGGTGACCTGGTATACTGATTCCCCTGGCAGGGTCAGAGACCGAGACAAAGACAAGTATTATATTACTTCCTTGGTAGGTACAACATATGGATGACGTATGTCCCATTAATCAGACATATGACACTCAGTGCATATGCTCACAAATGTATGCTGAGTGCACTTTATGCCAAGCAGATATTTGGGGCACTGCCATAACGGTTCTACATGTGTTTACAGTCTCAAGAACCAAACTAAGACGGACTTGGCCTTCAGAACCTACTTACACGCAACCTACAACCATAGCACCGGGTTTAGGCCATCCTCACTAACCGTAATCAAACTACTACAGGACTGCCAGGCAAACGTTGGGCACTCAGGTAAGTTATGTCGGTTGCAGCAACCAGTATAAGAAACATCAACATGCCCACTTAAGTAATTCTCCTCCCAGGCACCTTCTGCCATAGGGTTAGAGGTCCCGCGAGGCCAACTTCCATCCTTGATGTAAGAGGTATCAAACCCCCATGGGCCAAATCATAGCTAGACGCCTCGCATGTTGCATAGCTAGGGCGTCATCCGTCATAACCCTCAATTAACGATTAAATCTCCACTGGTAAAACATGTACAACAGATCAACCCCACGCGCCAACCATAGTTAAATCCTACTAGCCACTTGGCATTTAATAGGGACTCACCTGCCACAAGTTTAATGAATTATTTCGCCACTTTGGCACTAGTTAAACATTTTACACTCTCCATAATGAAACTCACGATTACATACGTACATATTTCAGTATGTCCCAAGTTCATGAAGAAGGAGATGAACTATCAATGCCTAGTACACCGACCAGGACTGCCACCCCCACACGCAAAGGGGACATCGGCAGCCCGTCATCTTTAGATCATGGACCATCCCACGGATCACAGCCGAACTACGCAAACGTAGTATTCCTTATCCAGCTACGGCCCGCAAGGCAGAATTGTACAGGCTTATGCAAGCCAATCAGGACAATTCTGACGCCAGGGAAGGCACTAGTAATTCAAGCAATGCTAATCTGCATACCATGGTCGCCTCACTAGTGTCTTCCATGGGGCAGATTAATGAGAGACTGGAAAGACTGGAAGCTCGTAGCGGTCCAGTTGTGACACCAGAGCCACCTGCTACTGATATCCCAGGGCCATCACAAGCCCAACCTGGTAATCCTAATACCCCCACTGTCCTTGGGTCACAAGTGATCAACCCAGCCCATATGGTACCAGCAAACCTTAAAAAAGACATCCTGGAGGGCAAGGATGTAAATCTAGTCTCTCTGCTTATTGCCTCCCAGGATATCACAGAGAACCGCGCATATACGTATGGCGATATTTCTGTGGTCCTCAAGGCCAGAGATCCTAGACTAAGTAAAAAACTAGCAATCCCAGACTTCGTTATCGCATTCGGCATATACAGGGACGTACTGTGCTCAGTTTACCCACAGAGAAGGGAAGAGTTAGACCTGTACATGCACAAGCTGGTAGACCTGGGCAACAAATACGGTGGGTCATCATTTTACGATTACCACCGTTCTTTTTCCACTAAAGCGGCAACAGCTCTCGCCCAATATAACGCAAGAATGTATTGGAGCCTAATGGATACAGAGCTGTTCCTCAGGCACTTTGCCGGGCTAAGGTCTCCAGCTTGTGCAATATGTGGGGCTACCACGCATGCTGCAAATCTCTGTCCTGTCTCCACAGACGATGCCCCAAACAATGCCACACCAAGCACTTCCAGGGGGGAGAAACAGGGCAGAGACAAGCTGGGTCGCCCTATCGTGTATTTGGGCAAGTCACAGATCTGTAATAATTTTAATGTTGGGGCTTGCTCCTATAGTGCTTGCCGTCTACTGCATATCTGCTCCCATTGTTTCAGGGCACATGCAAAGGCTATGTGCCCTAATAAAATGCACATTAATCCCTACCTAACTACTGTGAATGTTGATGTTCTGGCAGGGCTTCTCTCCAAGCACCCTTCTACACATCTTGTGGAGTATCTGATTGCAGGGTTTTCCCAAGGGTTTCATACTGGCCTCATTTACATACCAGGGGGTACATGGGAAGCCTACAACCTCCAGTCCGCCTTTTGTGACACAGACGCAGTAGACTACCTACTACAATTGAACAAGACCAATGATTTGTCTTAGGTCCATTTATTGACCCGCCGTTCTCTAATTGGAGAACAAATCCCATTGGACTAGTCACTGGGAAAACCTCTAACAAACAAAGACTCATCATAGACCTGTCTGCTCCACATGCTTCAGTGATACCCAGTCTCAATTCCCTGATCCCGTCAGAGGCATTCTCTTTACAATACACCACCATAGACGACGCCATATCCACCATCATCTCAGCAGGCATAGGCGCATGGTTGAGCAAAACCGACATCGTTAACGCTTTTAAACTACTCCCCATACACCCGTCGCTGTGGCATTTGCATGGTATCAAATGGAGAGGCCAGTATTACTTCTTCACAAGGCTTACCTTCGGATCCAAGAGCAGTCCTAAAATATTTGACACTTTCGCAGAGACCTTGTGCTGGCTGCTCCTGAATACCAGCAGGTGCCATAGCGTCATTCATTACTTGGATGACTTCCTTTTCATAGAAAATAACGCTACACCCCCTAACAGTTTACACAAAGCCATGCATTTATTTAACACCATTGGGGTTCCAGTATCTCCCACCAAGACAGAAGGTCCAGATACGATCATTCAGTTTTTGGGGATACAACTGGACTCCATAACTATGGAAGCCAGCCTCCCTAGAGATAAGATTGACAACATCACTCAGACCATTCAGCAGTACTTGCGCATAGGCTCATGCAATAGAAAAGAGCTTCAGTCACTGATTGGCTCGCTAAATTTTGCCATTCGTGTTATACCCCAAGGAAGAGCATTCATTTCCAGACTCCTGTGCCTTCTTCCAA